TTGCAGAGATGGGGTGGCAGCTGCGCCTGCCCCCGCTGGGCTCCTCCACGTCGCGGGCGGGCACTGGGTCCCCTGGGGGAGCAGCAGCCCAGGGCACACCTGCCGCGTGCGGGCTCCGGGAGCCAGCTGCCCCCAGTGCAGGGGAGGAGGCGGGCTGGGACCCCAGCCGTGGGAGGGAGGCCATCTGCCTGTGGCCAGAGGCCAACACCGGCCGGGAGGAGGCTCGAGTGGGGGGCTGGGGCGAAGGGGAGGCTGAGGCACGAGCGTCCTGAGCACGGATCCTTCCAGCATCTGACTCGCGGGAGGGCCCAGCTTGGGTCGCACTGGGGGAGGCCCCCCCCGAGTGAGTCGGTCATCAGTGGCCGACGGCAGGGGGGCGTCCCTCCAGGCTGAGGGGGCCTTGCCGCCGTGGGGGGGGTGGTTCCCAGGGAAGGGGCAGCAGTGTCGCCCAGACAGCCCTTCCATCGTGTGCACTTTCAGAAGCATCAGGATGTCCTCCCTGGGGGGTGGGGGAGGTGCCCCTGGGGTTTCTGACCCTAAACCTGCCCTTACGGCATGTGAGTCCTCACCCCGGAGCGGGGGTCTGGGTGTGGAGGTGCTGACTTGCCAGGGGACACCCCCTCCTTCCTGAGCCGTGGTCTGTCGAAGGCCAGGGGCTGTGTGGTGAGCGTGCCGTCCCGCCCACAGGCCCCGGAAGCTTCCGTCTGGGTGGCCCTGGAGATGGTGGTGGGCAGGGCGGGTCAGTGCCGGACACAACCACAGTCCGGGTGGGGGGCTGCAAGTGGGGACCCCCGACCCCCTTCACGAGGTCCCCGCTGGGCGGCCTGCGGGAGCTCTGACCTCGGGGTGGTCGGTCCACGGCCGGTGGGGGTCGCCGAGGTGTCACAGCGTCAGCAATGACAGGACTGGCGGAGTCAATCGGGTCTTTTCCCTCAGAAGGTTACAGTCCAGACGCAGAGGGGTTCGTCAGCAGGACAGGGCAGGGGGCTGGCGGGAGGGGTCTTCCCCTCTGCAGCTGAGGCCTTGATGGGGTCGCATTAGAGGCTCTTGATTCCCGAGCGGCCTGCAGCCCGCGGTGCCTGGTCCCCCGGGGGCCCTGCGGCCGGGTCGCCTCCGCCTGGGGGCCACCCGCGCCCTCGGCGAGCCCCCACCGTGGCTGCAGCAGGGGCGGGGCGCACGCACAGCCCAGCACCTGCTTTCCTGCTCCGCGTCCCCAGACGTGGCCGAAGAGACACGGCGACAAGGCCGTGGCGCCGCAAAGCAGCTCCGACCAGATGCGGTTTGAAGAAGCTTCAGAAGCGGGGAGTGGGGGGAGCAGAGCCAAAGCCAGCAGCGCGTGCGGCCCCACGGCCACAGCGGGCGGGGGGGGGGCAGCGGGCGGGGGGGCGGGGCTGATGGGGGGCAGCGGGCCGGGCAGCGGGCAGGGGAGGCGCTGACGGGGCGGGGGGGCAGCGGGCGGGGCAGCGGGGGGCGCCAGGGCTGACGGGGCGGGGGGCCCGGGGCAGCGGGCGGTGGGGGGGGGCTGACGGGGCGGGGAGGGCAGCGGGGGGTGCAGCGGGCGGGGGGGGGGGTCGGCGGAGCGACGGCGAGGCCGTGTGAGGTTGAGCAGCAGGGCCCCCGCAGGTGGGTCCGGGGCCAGGAGGGGCGCAGGGGAGGTGGGGGAGGGGGTCTCAGGGGTGCAGCTGCGGGGTCTCCCGGCCCCGTGCCCGCGGGGGGACCTCCGGATCCCGGCAGGTGACATCAGGACTGGACAGAGAATGACATGCGGGCAGTTCTCAGAGAAGTGGTAGTGAAATGATTCCCAGGGCTGAGGAAGGGCTAGTCTGAGGAAGGCGGCTCTGCCTCCTCGTCTGTGTGAGGAGTGTGACGGTCCCTCGCCGGGGTCGCGGACAGTGTTAGCGCGGCCATTCCACAGAGGTTAAGGTCGGGGGTCAGTATCTTAGGGTCACTGTTGTTGGAAGACGTCCAGGGGCCAAGCGTGTGAGGTGAGAAACGCCCAGAGCCCCAGACGACCATGCAGACATTTCGGATCGCCGCGGGTGAACAGAAGGAACCCGAGAACCTTTCCGAGGGAGCAAGAGATCAAAACAGAAATCAGGAAGCAGATTGTGTGTGAAACAGCAAGTCGGGGGGACACGGAAGCAAGAATATAGGCGGCCGCGAGCCCCGAGCTCTGAGCGACAGCAGCTTCAGGCACTAAACCCGCGGCCTCGAGTGCCCCCACGGGAAAGGCAGGGGTGGTTTCAGATGGGCCAGGACTCAGCACTGACCTCTCCGACCCCATCTGCGTGTCGTCGCTCCACTTCTGCCTTCCCAGAATGAGCCTTGTTTTTATGTCGTTTGAAGAACGACCAGCACTTCAGCAGAATTAAAATCAGTCGTCTTTGAACCGACGCCTGCCCGGCGAATCAGTGACTGCACAGCGATTGAAGAGACATCTGTCCCCCGAATTCAGATCAGAAATCATACTGGGGTTGGGGCGCCTGGGTGGCTTAGTCGGTTAAGCGTCCGACTTTCGCTTGGGTCATGATATCGCGGTTCGTGGGTTCGAGCCCCGCTTCGGGCTCTGTGCTGACTGCCAGCTCAGAGCCTGGAGCCTGTTTCGGTCTATGACTCCCTCTCTCTCTGACCCTCCCCTGCTCACGCTGTCTCTCTCTCTCTCTCTCCTAGAAATAAATAAAACATTTAAAAAAAAAAAAAAAGAAATCATACTGGGTGACTCTCTCCCTCTCGTGGTTGGGAATATATGTATTCAGTTCATCTTTTTTTTTTTTTAAGTAATTTTTTAAAAGAATGGAGCGTAGTCGACACACACCATTCAGAGTGTCAGGTTTATGGCATAGTGATGGACCCGTCTACACGGCATGCTGTGCCGGCTGCCACCACCCGCCGCCGGGATTACACCACCAGGGACTATAATCCCACGGATTTCATGGCAGAAAGTACGAAAGGGATCAAGGGGCGGCGGACGTTGCCAGGAGGCGTGATCCACGGGCGAGCACCAGCAGTCAGCAACCTTGTGACCCGAGACTGTGGCTTCAAAATCCGGGATGCAAAGTCTGATGGGTGAAAAAGTGCAGGAAAGGTTGATCTACAATCAGCACGACACAGTCACATAAACCGACATGTATTAGGTTATAGCGGAAACTCAAATTCCAATAGGTAGAAAGCACAGAGCTCAGACCTGTGCACACCACGTACTGTGACCACCCTTCCCTCTGAAACGGTGCTGGATGAAGTATCATTTTTTTCTCCCTTAAATGCATTAATATGTTGGAAAGAAAAGAACACTGAGGTCAAAAGCCTAGTGAAAGCAGGCATCCCTGCTAGTCTTTGGATTTTTGCCCCAAGGGCATTTGCTGAACTTGAAATTGGATTTGGAATAACAGGCAAAGACTCGGGGCCGAGTGGGGAGTCTACTAGGAAACCCTCATTCTCCTCATTACAGAACCAAAAATAACCCTTGGTGCTCACTGCAAGGAAAACCACCTACCTTTAAATTTGGTGTAAGTGCGGGAGGAAAGATACTTCCCTTGGGCGTAAATCAACACAAGTGGCTCCCGTTGATTGGGAAGTCTTGGTGGGGGGGACACGATATATTGTTAACAAGTTCCTTCTGCAGCTCTGACGCGGGTGGCCCCAGAGTGCCTGAACCAGTGACCTGTGCTGGTGCACATTCGAGTTAAATGTCTCGACTCCTAGGCCACACCGCAGGCCGGCTGGACCGGAGTGTCTGCTGGTGGAATTCGGGCACCGGTATTCTTCACAAGGTCTCCAGGAGAGTCTAATATGCAGCCGACATCGAGAACCTTTGTCCTGAACTGTGGTCACCAGCGGCAGGGGCCGGGGACCTCGGGGTGTCGTGTGAGAGACCTCCCACACCTACCCATCCACTCGTGCGTCCGTTCTTCCGTCCGTCCACCCTCCCTTCCTTCTCCCTTCCCATCCCCCTTCCTTCCTTCCATCTGGTCAAGCAATCTTTACTGAGCCCACTCGAGCTAGTCCGTTCTAGGCACTGGACGTACAGAAGTAAACAAAATGGGCGAAAATCGCTGATCTGAAGCAGGTCTTCTATGTGAACAGTGTAAGGCAGGTGTGAGAGTAAAAAAAAAAAACCCCAAAGAAGTGAAGTGCCTGACAGTGAGGGCTGATAAACTACAGTCTCCCAGACAGCTGTCAGGCAGCTGCAGAGGCAGCCGGGACAGGCCAGGGCGACCCCCAGCCCCAGCGCCATCGGGCAGCGTGTCCTGAGGTGACCCTCCTGTCTCCTCATCTGTAAAGCGGGATAATATTACCATCCTCCAAAGATGTTCCTGTACCTTTTATTTACACACACACAGAGGGGAGAGCATCAGAGAGCTCAGTGGAGGTCAGAGCGGAGAGGAAGCCCTGACGGATGTTTTGTGGATGTTGTGATGCCAGTTGACATGATGGTTGCAGGGTTATAGTGGGGAAAGTACCAAGTTTAAAAGCAGAAAACTGGAGTTCTGTTCCTAATGATACCTCCTCCTCTGCATCTGATCAGGGAGGGAACATTTACGGAAGGTGCCAATTAGAATCTCATTATATTTCAGCTGCCATGGTTAATAATTGGTTTCTTTCCATCCCAGTGCTGAGCTGGGATGACTTTTCTCTCAGGGCTCTTTAAAACGAGGAAGGCACTGGGGTTTCCTGAAGTGCGCTCACCTTTAATCCGGCTACTGGTCACGTCACAACAGGGATCTCGGCGTCACCAAGGAGGCCCTGATACGCCCTAGGCCAGAAGACGAGTGGCATGGTCAGCGGGACACAGAGATGCCGGCTTGTGAGCCTGATGTTACTATCCCTCGCTGTGGAATTCAGAACCCTAATTCAACCCAGGTCTCAGAGGTCGTCAGAAAAGTCTTCAACAGTAGCCAACACAAGGGCAGAATCTCACAGGAAGGATCTTGAAGTGTAACCTGGATGCCCTGGGCATGGAGTCTCACGAGCTTAACAATTCCGGGGCTCCATGCCCCCCACCCCGGTATCAGAAGCCAGGCCTTGATGCTTAGGAACGCACTAGAAACTGACTTCGGTGTAGAGGTACTGGCTGCCTGCACAGGAGGCAGGTCTCTGGGACGGGGGTGGGGCAGGCCTGATGAAAGGAAAAGAGAATTGTTGGGGTGCCTGGGGGGCTCTGTCGGTCAAGCATCCGACTTCGGCTCAAGTCATGATCTCACAGTATGTGCGTTCGAGCCCCGCGTCGGGCTCTGTGCTGACAGCTCGGAGCCTGGAACCTGCTTTGGATTCTGTGTCTCCCTCTCTCTGCCTCTCCCCTGCTTATACTCTGTCTCGCTCTCAAAAATGAATAAACATTAAAAAAAAAAAAGAAATAGAAAATTGTCGGTCCCACTTAGACAGCCCCCATTCTGAGCTAGACCCAGGGCCAAATACTTAACACCCAACACACTGTCCTATTTATTCTTCAAAACCCCTGTAAAGTAAGTGCTTTTATTATTTACAGATGAAAAAGGGAACCTCTGTCCACGGAGGGTCAAAGGCTGGCAGGTGACTGAGCCCACATTTGGACGCGAGTTTGACACCAACGCCTGTACTTTCAGTGTCTCTCTGCGTCCCGTGAGGAGGTCCGGGCACCTGGGGGGGCAGGGACTTGCGGGCAGTTTGGGAAGAGCAGGACTTAACGCTGTGACCTCTCAGAACCATCTGGAAGCTTGGCACACGCTTGGCCCAAGACATCTGAGCTCAGTGAGTCTGACATTGGGACTGGTTACGTTGAGGGCTCTGATGGCAGCTGTCTTCTCCAGGCCACCAGGCAAGGCTGTCTCCTCTATGAGCTGTCATCCCGCCCCAGTCCGGCGCCGGCCTCCCCACCACCGCCAAAGTCCCCGCTTGCTTCGGCTGCAGAATCTGAAACTAGACCCAATATTTCAATAAAAGCCTCATTTAAGTTACACACTGCGGGAGGATTAATACCATGTTTATCGACCGAATCAATTATTGAGTGAGTTCCAGGGTGCTTACATAACGATTTTGCCATTGTCCTTATTAATGGGTTTCCTCCCCAGGAATTGTGATTCTGCTGTTCACACTGGTCATACCCTGTGGCAGCTCCCAGAATTTCAGCGAAGGGCTCATTATTTTTGCATATTTCATGCTTCATTTTCTCTTGAACGAGCTCCACATCAGCTAATTGTGCTGTGTTGCTGGGGTCACGGCTGCCCGGTGTGAACCCCGCCCGGGAGCAACAGATCCTTCTCTGGGCTGCGGGTGGACGTGCGGGGGTGGGCGGCGTGCACACACCAAGTGAGCGGGAGGGCAGGCGTTCCTCCGGAGCGGCTGCAGCAACAGCAGGAGTTTGGCCCACGGCCGGGGAAGCCCCGGGAAGCGGCAGCACCGAGCCCAAAGGCGGGCCGGGGGCCGTGGAGGCCCGGGGGCTGGGGCAGAGCCGGGTGTGGGAGCGGGGAGGGGACGCCTGCCCCCCCCGCCCCCCCAGGGCCGGTTACACCTGTGGGTCCTGCGCTCGTGAACCTGCCCCTCCCGCTGTCCCTCCAAACCCGGCTGTCGCGCCGCCCTGGGGTGCCCCTGGCCCCTCTGCGGGCGCTCCTGGGTCCGCGGCCCAGACACTGCCGTGGGTCACGGCTTGGACGTGGTCTGCACAGAGTCAGCTCGTAGGGCACCATCCGCCAGACCGCGTGCTGCGGGGGCGTGGCCTGCAGCCAGGGGCGTGGCCTTGCAGGGGCGTGGTCTCACAGGGGCGTGGCCTGCAGCCAGGGGCGTGGCCTGTGTGGGGCGTGGCCTTCTTAGGGGTCATGGCCTGTGTAGGGGGCGTGGTCTTGCAGGGGCGTGGCCTGCAGCCAGGGGCGTGGCCTATGTGGGGCGTGGCCTTTGCCCCGGTCTTGGCCTGTGTAGGGGGCGTGGCCTTGTAGGGGCGTGGCCTGCAGGCAGGGAGGGTGTTGTTCGCACCCTGGGCGGGGGGTCGAGAAGAGGGAGCAGCCCCGTTGGGGGAAGGAGCCCGAACATCTGCCCCGTGCCCCCGGGAGGCGGTCCTGGCGGGTGATCTCCCAGGCCGGGCCTGTCGGCACCGGGCCCGCCTCGTGGGCCTCAGACTGTCCTCCCCATGGCCGACTTCCAGGGCTGGGAGGGGACATTGGTACTGGACCCGCTCCCCGTCCCCCCCCCCCCCAGCCTCACGTCACCGTCAGCTCTGCCCTGACAGTCAGGGGTTGGGGCGCAAGTCACTCGTCCTTGCCTTCCCGAGGCCGTCTGTTTGCAGGGGTGTGGGTGCCAGCGGGACTGTGTGCACCAGTCGGGAGGCGGACTCGTGGGTGCGGGCCTGAGCCGCCTGACTGGCTGGCTGTTTTTCCCGGAGACCTCGGGGGCCCCTCCGTCTCTGTGGCCGCTGGCCCGTGATGCTGAGTGACCCCCAGCACCGTTCTCCTGGTGCCAAGTGTTCTCCCGGGGCTGGGCCACGGCCTCCAGGCTGGAAGCTGCAGTGGCCGGGGGAGCGGGTGCCCCCGACCGGATCTGGGCCGTAGGGTGTCAGCGGAAGTGCTGTGTGCCCTTCCGGGCCCTGACCCCTGACTCCGGCACCAGACGCTGAGCTGGCAGCTCCAGGTTGGGGACGGTGGCACCGAGGGTCTGGCGGTGTCCCTGACGGGCTGGGAGGGTGGGGCCGCTCAGAGAGGACCTGCCCTCGGAGAGTAATGCGTCATTTTGGTTAAGCCCCCGTGTCCCTGGGCCTCCCGCCCATACCCCGAGCTTGCAGCCCGTGTGTCCTGAAGCCACAGCCTCCCTTCAGAGCCGCCCTCGGTCTGATCTTGACGGTGCCTCTGTGAGTCCGGGGCTGGGGGCAGCCACCACGCTTTGCACACGAGGAGACTGAGGCCCAGAGAGGGTTGGGGTCTGTCCCAGGTCACAGACGCAGACAGGAGACAGGCACCCAGGCCCCTGGCCCCCGGAGCACAGCACGTTCGTGGGCAGGCTGTTGCTCGTAATGCTCTGAATCGGAGCCGTGATGTTGTTATTAAAATATTTACTTGCATGAAAAATTTCTATTACCTGAAACTCATGTATTATAGATGGAATCAGTAGCTTAGGAGGAAATAAACAAGAAGAATCACTTTAATAACAAAAGCTATGCAGATAAATTCCTCATTTCAGCAAGCTCTTGGCGGTCTCGAATAAATATATCATTTTTATCAGGCAAGTGCTCTAGAAACAGCGTCTTCAGGAAATATGTCAAAATAATCTCTCCGGCTGTGCTGCTTTCTGGAGGAAAGAAATATGACAGTGGCTTCGGCACAGGCCGTCGGGGTGGAGGGTGACACGGAGCTGGACCCGCCGGGCTCCAGGTTGCGTTCCCCACTGGGCACAGCTCAGGGGGCTCGGGCCACGCTCTCACTTCCTGGCTGCGACACATTTGCCAAGTTGCTCGCCCTCTCTGAGCCTCCACTGGCCAACTCGCAAGCGCTGTCTGGGTATGGAAATTTCTTATCGTATGTGGAGCACTGCTCACAAATAACGTGGGACCCCATTTAATGCTGTCACTACTGCTGTCGTCCACGTTGTGGATGGGGTGTAAGGGGAGGAGCAGAGAGCGGGGTCTGGTACCTGCTGGCTAGGGAGTGCGCGTGTGTGCATGCCTGTGTGCACGCCTGTGTGCCGGCCTGTCTCCTGCAAACGCAACACCGTCAGCCTGGCCTCGGTGGTCCAACCCCAGAGGATCCCCCCCATCCCGCCGAGCCCTGGAAATCTGCGCCCCGATTCTCGAGTCCCTGCACCACCTCCTGTCTCTGTCCTCGCCGTTTCTGCCTTAGGTCAGGACGCCACTGCTCCTGGCCGCTGCCTCAGCGTCCCCACGTTTGCTACCAGCCTGGGCTCCCCAGGGTGAAAGCCGTGCCTCTGCGCGAAAGCCTCCCGCTGCCTGGGGTTTGAAGCTCGGATTCCTCCCTGACGCCGGAGCCCTTCCTCCTCCTCGCCCAGCACCCCTGCTTGCCCCCACGCCTGCCCGCACTCCGGCCTGTGTGCAGCGGCCCCTCCTTCCTCTGGGGCGTGGGCTTGCCCTGCAGGGTCCAGCTCGAGGGACATCAGGGACAGAGCGGTGGCCCCTCGCGGAGTCCCGTGTGTACCTCTCTGGCTCTCGGCACGCCGTGCGAGGCGCGGTCACCCTCTGCTGGCCCTGCCGCCTGAGGCGGGAAGCAAACGGGCCGCGGAGCCCGCGCTCTGCTGGCTGGTGAGACGCGGGCTCTGAGCAGCCGGGCCAGCACCTCTGCTCGGGGACAGCTACAAGTTGGCGGGCAGAGGCAGGGCCCGGGGGGAAGGGCGTGGGGTGCCCCTCCTGCACCCTCACCCTGACCCACCTGATTTAATCCCTGTTCCGACTGAGCTGCTCGGGTCTCCATGAGGAGAGGAAGGAAAAGAAGGTCTTGTCTGGTGCTCCTCTGTCCTGGAAGCTTCGTGGCAGGCTTGTGGCAGGCTCGTGGCACCTTGGAGGTTCAGCATCTGATAATTAGTTGAGACCCCATGCTCTGTGTAACACGTGCGCGCGTGTGTGATGGGTGTGCGTGCACGTGAGTGCACGTGCAGGAGCAGAGGTGCACGTGCGGCCGGGGGTGCGGGACGTGCCTGTGTTGGGGCGATGGTTCGGCATTTAGTGGGGGGGGGCCCATCTCGCAGAGCTGGAAAAGCAGCCCGCCAGTCACTGCTCGCGCCCGTGCTCCCCGCATTGGGGACTTGGCAGTGACTGTGTGGGACGCGCCCAGCAAAACTGCCCCAGCGCCACGACGGTGCTTCGGTGACAGACCAGGAATTAATCTTGTAAACTCACTTTCTGGACAGCCCTCATTCGAATCTTTAATGATGGAGCTAATTGTGCCGCCTGGGGTGGGGGTGGGGTTACAGGGAGCTTCGCCAGTCAGGGAGCATCTTATTTCCCAGGAAATTAAGCCGCCACGCCATTATCATGTCGTTTCTAAATGAAGGAGGGTCCTTAACATCATGCTCTCATGTCAACACGAATGAGACAAACTGACCAGCTGTTTTGTCGCACGGCTGTCTGAGCAGAACATTTTGAGGAATGTCGTGGATCCGTTGGGAAGAGGAGCCGGTGGGCAGGAAGGATGTCCCAGATGACGGAACGTGACAGGGCTGTTTGCCAGTAATCACCCCACGCCCGGCCTGGGCAAGGGGGAAATGCGTTTCCATTTTCTGCCCCTGAGCGGGAGGGGCCTTGCTCGGGGTGGGGGACGGGAGCCGGTCTGCCGAGAGCGCATGCAGTTCCCCACGGCCGGTGACGGGGATGAGCACGGCCACACGAACCCACCGATGCCGCCCGATGCGAGTCCGGCCTCGTAACAGGCCCCTCTCGGGACAGCCTTCCTGCCTACGCCTTCCGTCCCCTGGAGCTGCCCTCCTGGCTCGGGGGCGCCCTGCGGCCTCTGCCCCCCGCCCCCCCGGAGCTGCTTGGCCCACGGAGGCAGAGTCGACCCGAGCTGGGCCGGGCAGGGTCTCACCACCGGGGTGGGGGTCGGGGTGTGGGGTGTGGGGGTGGGGGGGTCGGGTGTGGGGGTCTCTCGGGAACCTGCAAAGCTGGGAGCCTCGGCTCACTTGGTGAGCACCTGCCAGCAACCGGCCCCTCCTCTCTCTCCCTGAAAAGGAAGGGGGAGAAGGGAAAAATGGAGCCAGGCTTTGAAGCCCGACGTTTCTGGGTTGGAATCCTGGCTCTGATCCCGACCTTGTGACCGGGTGACTTAACCTCTCGGATTCCCGTTTCTCCACCTGGAACACGGAAGCTTGATAAAGAGGAAAACGCGTGTTATTTAAAACAACCGTCACCAACCCCCTTAGTAGCCGTGAGATCTGTCTCTAGAGTAAGTGACTTCGGCTACCAAATGTCGACGGGGCCTTCGGTTTGAAAAGAGACCTGAGCGAGTGGCTGCACGTTCGCTGACCGAGAAGGAGGGAGTCCCTTCCTTCCGCATAACGAGGCGCAGGTGTGGGGATTCCGGAAGGAGTGGACTTCCGGTGGGCGGGGCGGGGGAGGAGCTCCGGATGCTGGGCTTCCGGGCGCGGCTCTCGCGGGACTTCGGACGGGACGAGGACTCGGAGGCGCGCGTGCGTGCCGGTGCCGGGAAGCCAGAGGCTGCGGCTTGAGCGGCCGTGTCCTTGGCAGGCGTCTGGCACTAAGTTCTAGCACTTTCCATGAAAAGAAATGAACGTTAGCCATGAGGTGGGCTGCCCAGTTTTCCTGGTCCGAGAACATTCCAGACTCCGTCTGGGGCCCTCCCTCCCCGGGAAATGGACTTACTACGGTCCAGTCAGGACCTCAAGGGACCTCAAGTCCCTCCAGCCGCGGCGGAGCTTAGGGTCAAGGCCCCTGTGGCTCCAGAAGCTGCGCCGAAGGCCTGGCCTGCCCCTCCCCCCCTTGGATTTTTCCAGATTCTCAAGCTGGAGCTCCATGTCCCAGGGCCCGAGCCGCGCTGGCCCTCCAGCCGCTTCCCAGGCAGGTGCGGGGAGGTGAGCCTCCTGCGCCCCAAATGCCCGAGCCGCCCCACGTTCCTGGCCTCTCACGGATGTTCTGGAAGCGTGTAGAATTCGGGGATGAAAACGGTTTCCCTTCTGTGCCTCGATGGCGTTTCCTCCTTGTTTTCTGGCCTTCAGGGAGGCTGGGAAACGATCCTGGTGCCAGGTTGATTTGGTTCTTTTGTGAGTGGATTTTTCTCTGTTTTGGTCTGTTTTTCTGGAAGCTTTCTCTCCGGAGCAAAGGTCAACAATCTTTTTCTGCGAAGGGCCAGATGAGAAATAATTGAGACTTTGTGGGCTGTCTGGTTTCTGTTACAGCCACTTAATTCTGCGGTGGTCACGTGAAAGCAGCCACGGACAGTGCACAGATGGGCACGACTGGGAACCAGTAAAGCTTTATTTACAAAGTGTGATCAAATCTGAATGATACAAAGGAGATTAGCGTGGCCCCTGTGCGAGGACGATGTGCAGGTTCGTGAAACACTCCGTTAGAAAAACCCAGCGCCTTATTTACAAAAACAAAGCTGTTTGCCAACTTCTGCTTTACGTCAAAGGGTGTCCTTTTCATCTTTGATTTTTTTTAAGTTTACTATTTATGTTGAGAGGCAGCACAAGTGAGGGAAGGGCCGAGAGAGAGGAGAGAAGATCCCAAGCGTGCTTTGTGCTGCCGACCCAGAGCCCAAAGTGGGGCTCAGACCCATGAAGCGTGAGATGATGACCTGAGCCAAAACCAAGAGTCAGATGCTTAACCAGCTGAGCCCGCCAGGCGCCCCCTCCTTGATGTTTGAGACTTCCCAGCGAACTGTTTATGGAGTGTTCTTGTTTTCATCGATTATGCTTGAAAACCTGGTGAACTTTCAGTGCAGTCATGTTGTTCAGATCTGATACATTCTCTGGTTTCCTTGAAAAGATATTTTCTCCCTCCGTCTACTATGAGTCCTACTAGCCATCATGTATCTGAGTGCTCCCAGACTTCTTTCCTCTGCCTCTTATTTGTTTCCTCTCATCTTTCTGTCACTTTTCCTTTTTAATTTTGATTTTAAGTGATCCCTACACCCAGCGTGGGGCTAGAACCCACGACCTCGAGATCAAGAGTCGTACGCTCCACCCACCGACTGAGTCCGCCAGGCACCCAGCTGTCTCTTTTCTTTCTGTTATGTTTTCCAGGCTGTTGGATTTGACTTTTTAACAGACTTTTTACATGTTGTAAAAATACTCTTGACCATATATTTTTAATCTCTGAGAGTTCCTTCGTGTTCTCTGAATGTTTAAATTTTGTAGAATCATTTTATTTTATAAAAGATGCAGTGTCTTCTGAATTCTCCCTGAAGATACTAATTATTAGGGTTTGTGGTGGTGGTTATTCATCTCCTGTTTTCAGAATTATTTCTAATCCCTTAGGACTCAGCTTTTGTCTTTAATAGCCTGATTCCTTCTCTTTTACGCTACAGGGTTTTGTTCTCTTATTTATCAGGTGTTGTGGTGGATGATTATATTGAGATGATTTGTATTTGTGTTTAGAATAAGCCAGGTACAGTTGCCCAGGTGCTCTGTGAATATGAGGGGCACTTGCTAATGGTGGAATTTGCACTAAACTAGTCACAAGGAGTTGTTTTTACAGCTGGGGGACCCCTGAGCCCCAGACGTGGAGGTCTGTTTTTCTGGAACGGGCGGATTTATAGTCTAGCTGCAGGTGTTTGGGCTTACCGCCACGGGCTTAATTCCACTTCCCTTGAGTGAGGGTTGGGCTTAGTGACTTTGTTCTGAGGAGCAGAATACAGCGAGCATGACCACGCACTGCTGGGGCGACAGCCAGGCAGCCTCCGGAGGTCTGGGCGGTAAGGACGCCGTCCTGGACGAGGCCCCTCTGGCTCCGGGCAGGGCTTCAGATGACGCGGCTCTGGGGCCCGTCTTCGCTGTGTCCTCGTGAGAACCCGAGTGGGGACCACCCAGGGAGCTGCTGTTGAAGTCCTGACCTGCAGAGGCTGAAAGATAACAAAGATGTGTTGTCGTGAGCGGTTGTGTGTCGGGGTAATGTCCGTGCAGCAGTAGGTAGCTTCCTTGGGAAGGTTCACCTGGATGTGGTTTCCTGGCCGCTCGGTTGTCGCCCAGCAGTAGGGCAGGTGTTCTGGACGTGATCAACCCAGCCACCTGCTCGTGGCTCGGCGTCCCATTTCCGTTTCCGTGGGATGTTTCTGAGCCCAGCCTGGGGCTGTGAGGGCGCCCTGATTCCTGGACAGCACCCGTCTCCACATACAACCTCCGGTGTGGAGTCTGCCATGCTGCGCCCCGTTACCCTGCAGCCACCCGCCTCCCCCTTACCCTCAGCCACCCGCCTCCCCCTTACCCTCAGCCACCCGCCTCCCGTTACCCCGTGTCCACCTGCCCCCCCTTACCCCGTGTCCACCTGCCCCCCCTTACCCCGTGTCCACCAGCCCCCCCTTACCCCGTTTCCACCAGCCCCCCCTTACCCCGTGTCCACCTGCCCCCCCTTACCTCGTGTCCACCCGCCTCCCCCCTTACCCCGCGTCCACTCACCCCCTCTTACCCTGAATCCACTTGCCTCCCCTTACCCTGTGTGCACCCACCCCCCTTTACCCCACAGCCCCACCTACCCCCTTATTCCACGTCCACCCGCCTCCTGTCTTACCCCACGTCCAGCCGCCCATGCGTCCCCCCTTACCCCGCGTCTGCTGCCTCCAGAGGGTTTTTGCTCTCTGGTCTGCTGACTGCTCTCCTCCCGAGCTCTGTTGATGCGCATTTGGACCTGGGGGTCGCTCACGTTCATTGTGGTGGGACCTCAGGTGAGAGAGGAAATGAATGGCCATGGTTAATCAGCATATTTTGATCCTGCTTTTCTAGAAAAATCAAAGATCTGTGATCTGAAGTGTATCAGGAAGATACAGGCAGAAGTCAAGGCGCTAAAGTTTCTGGCTAATTTTTTTTTTTTAATTTTTAAAATGTTTATTTATTATTGAGATAGAGATATGAGTAGGGGTGGGGCAGAGAGAGAGGGAGACACAGAATCTGAAACAGGCTCCAGGCTCTGAGCTGTCAGCACAGAGCCCGACGCGGGGCTCGAACCCATGAACAATGAGATCATGACCTGGGCAGAAGTCGGACGCTTACCCGACCGAGCCCCCCAGGTGCCCCTCTGGCTAATTTTCACAACACAGGAAGCTGATCAGCAGACCATGAATCATGTATGTTTTCACTGGCAGGTGTCAGTAAAAGGGTTTGTCGTGATGACCCTGGAGCCGAGGCGGCTCACGACGTGAGCTTTGGCCAAGCCTTCTGCTTCCTGCCCGAGTCAGGAGTGTCAGCTCTTTCCATGTGAGAAAGTGCGGCTGAAGGCCGGAGTCTTAATGAACCAAGAATTAGTTTTAAGACCACGAGCGGACACAAAAGCACAGCTAATGCCTTTCTGATTGCTTTTGCTCTCGCGTCTTCAGCAAGTGCGCCCCTGCGCCTCACAGACTCAGTGACTCCGGCACTCTGGGGGCCCCGTCTCAGCCGGGGGTGCAGCCGGGCAGGGAGCTGAGCTTGGATCCCTCCTCTTGCGAACCCGAGACCGCCTCCCAGAGTCCTGGCCCCAGACTCCTGAGCTACAGGAATGGGGTCTTCGGGACCAGAGCTCCAAAGAGCCAGGGGCACAGAAGGAGCAGACGCGGGCAGAGGAGGGTGGCGGGTGGGCGCGGTGAGGGGACCCAGACGTGTCTGTGGCTACTCCTGGGTGAAGAAACGTTCCGTAGCTCGGCCCCCAAAGTCAGCCTGTGTGGAGGGAGGCTTCGGTGTGAAGTCGTGTCCTTGGTGGGAGTGACACAGACAGAGAACGGTAATCGGGTGAAAGCTAGAGCAGTTGTGCCTTTGATCGAGCGCGTGAAGTGAGAGCTCGGGGCGCCGCGGCAGAGTGACGGGGGACACCTGTCTGGGGAAGGCGGCGCGAATCCTTTCTGAAGGGGGGGCCACATGGCGGGAGTGTCCCAGCCGCGGTCCCTCTGAATTGTTTCTGTTTCTCAAGAACGTTACTCGCATCATAAAAACACGAGAGATCCTTGCGCTTTAGGGGAGGAGGAACCCGCCTGTTCCAAAGCCCCGACTTTGCACCTTCTCGTGTCCGTCCACTCGGTCAGCGGGCATTTCCGACCGTGGGCCCCGCACAGGCCACGGGAGGGCCCCGCAGGAGCCGCGGCCCGAGCGGGTGCCCAGGTGCGTAGAAGTCATCGCGCGTGAGGGTGCCGCCGCCCGGCCTCCTCGCCTTGCCGTCCAGCCTCCCAGAGCACACGTGCCTGCCGGACAAAGGCTTCGTCTGTTTTAATCCGCTCTGCGTCCGGCATCTGGAACAGTCTGGAACAGTCTGGAACAGTGCCCACTACGCAGGAGAAACTCATCAGACACTCGCTGCTTCGATGGACGCTCTCAGACGTGTCTGCAGCAGGTGGTTGTGGGTCACGCGCTGTCCTCAGAGCAGGCCTGTTGAGAGGTCGCGCTTCGAACGTGCCGTGAGTCGTCGTCCCTTCCCTCTGCAGTGGGGGCGACACACAGCCCGCACCGGGCGCCGGCCCTGACGAGAGCGAGGCCTTCACCCGCACCGTCCACGCCCAGTGCCCCGTGAGCGGACGTGAATGATCGCAGTGGCCATTACCCAGTTATCAGCTTTACCCTTGCGGCCAGGACTCGTGCACGTTTTCCGGGCATTTCCTTCGGGGAACTTGCACGCGTGGAGCTGTCGGGTCAGAGCGTGTGCGGGTCAGTCTTGCCACGAACCACAGGAGCCACTTTGTGCCCTTTCGAGGCTGGCGGCCCCGCGAGTCTGCACTGTCCCGTTGCCCTGCGTCCCTCTGCTCTCCGGGGAGGCTGAGCATCTCCTCGCGTGCGCACCCCCGGGAATGCCCGGCGCTGGCCCTGCTCGGACGTCACCAGAGGGGCAGGTGGGCGCCCGAAGCAATTAAGAAGGAGTCAGGCCCTCTGTGTGTCTCAGAGAATATTAACGGGCTCTCATTCATAATGTAAGAAGATTTTTCTCAGATCCCCTCCCCTCCCTCACCCTCCCACCCCTGCAGGCAGACTGGCTCAAGGGCGCTGGGTGGGGGGGGGGGACGCGCTCAAGTTAATCAGCTGCGACCTTGGCACAGTCTGCGGTTTCCTGTGACTCACCCGCCCCCGCCTTTGGCCCTTTTCCTGTCGTGAGGCTGGTATCTGATTTGCACAAAGCGCTTACACGTCTGCTGGGAGCCCATGAAGTAGGCCCCTCGCCAGGTGGGTGACAGTCCCCCTCCTGGCCGTGCATCGCCGCTGGGCGTGCCGGGAGGCCCTGGGGGCCCTGAAAGAGGCCCCGAAGCCCACGAGTGGCCCCAGTTCTGAGCCTGCCTGCCCCCGCCCCCTCTCCCAGCCCCGAGGCACGCCTTAGGGGCGTCTGTGTGGAGAGTGGTGCGTTACCATGGAGACGCAGGCCCGTTGAATCACGCGGGTGGCTGTGGCGTCTTTTTCTCCTT